CTGCTTTTCCAGTGGACTCTGCTTTTTCTGAAGTGTCAGTGGATTTGGAGGACAGCTTGGCGCCAGGTCCTGATGTGGAGGATTCTGGGGCTGGAGAGGAGTTGTCTTGGGGAGCCCTGGGCCCCACTTGTCCCTGCTTGGGTATTTGGTACCCTCGGCACGGGGCTTGTTGTTACAGGAGGAGAGGTTTTTGTATCCCCCTCCCTGTACGATTTTGTTAAGAGTTCAACTCCTCCCCGGGGTTCAGTCCCAAGTTCCCTTGGGTTCTTCGGTTCCCTCCTTCTGGAGGTTTTTGGCTTCCCACATCGCACCGAGGAAAGTTTTCTTGAGGTTATCTTGTGATGATTTCGGGGCTTTAGTGTCCCCGCGGCCCGGTCCTCGACCGGGCCTCCACCCCCAGGAAGCAGCCCGTGACAGCTGACTAACACCCAGGTACCTATTTTACTGCTAGGTAACAGGGGCATAGGGTGAAAGAAACTCTGCCCATTGTTTCTCACTGGCGCTCGGGATCGAACCCGGAACCACAGGACCACAAGTCCAGTGTGCTGTCCGCTCGGCCGACCAGCTCTCCTGGTGGAAGGAAGGTGTGGAAGGCCCTTGCGGCTTACCTCCTGCAAGACCCGGATTATGCCTTGATATTGAAGCCTGCTTCTTTTGAGTTTGGCAACTCTTTTTCCTTAATGGGTGCATTGCAAGGTGCCGTAGTCTTCCTGGCTGGCAGACTGCCTTTTCTTTCGTTGGGGGCTTGGCATTCGTCTTGTCGGACTGCTCATTTGGATAACGGGAATTGACTACGGTCGTTCAGGTTTCCTGGGGGGGCTAGTTGGAGCAACTCAATGCGTGCATGTTCGCCCCCATCCTTCCTTATGATGTCGGCCAGGTGCGGCTTCAGATGCAGGTTCCCTCCTTTTCGGCATCCCTGGTGGCCGAGGATTTGGGCGCTCGTGGGCACTTGGCTTCGGTCTTGTGCTTCTTTTCCCTGCTGGTGCTGTCTTCGGACCTTCTCGTGGTGGGTGTGGAGTTGTTGGGTTCTGGGCCAGTGTCCAGTGTGCTTGCTTCGCCAGCTCGGGCGCCGACTGCCTTGTTGAAGTAGTACGCGCCGTTTTTGAGGGTGGCGGTGTCTGTTCTTTGCTTCTCGTCTCGCGTGCTGACAGGCGGTGCTTGTCCTATTTTCTGGAATCGTTTTGGGCCCTGGCTCTTCGTGTTTCATCCCCTTTTGTCCGTTGCTGTTTCCAGAGTCTGCGGTGGTGCAGTTTCTGCAGGCAGCTTCATCTAGTTGAGAGTATATCTGACTTGTAGGTTCTCCGGGGTCGACCGTGGAGGTCCTGCCCGGAATTGTCGCACCAGGTCTCTGGAAAACCTTGGTCATTGTGAGCCAGTAGTGCCAGATTTGGAACTGGCTCTCCTGCAGAGTCATTGGCTCAGTGATCGCTATGAGTTTCACTCAGGCTTTCGTAGGGGTCGTCGGTCCTTTTACAGCTTGCCCTGTTGGCAGGGGGATGGGGAGGAAGCGCGCACTGTTTGTTCTCGCCTGGTCCCGTGATTTGTGGGGCAATTCGGGTCCTTTTCCTCCAGCCTGCGGTGGTGTTGCTTCTTTCAATCTCCTTTGGGGGATTGGGGCTTGCAGGGTGGGTCTCTTCCCCTGTGCTCTGTCAGGTCATCCTGGAGTGGGTTTCCTGCCTGTCTTCAGTTCCAAAACGGGACTGGGCAGATCTGTGATTCATACTGGACTTGTCCTGTATGATCCCACGGGTGTTTTGCCCCTCCTTTTACATGACCACTCTGTCTAGGGTCCAGCTGCTTTTGGCGCCTGGATAGTGTCTCTAGACCTCCGAGACGCATATTAGCACATCCCGATTCATCCGGTGTTCAGGGACTGGCTCAGTTTTGTCATGGAGTGACACCGCTTTCTTTGCCTTCCTTCCAGTTGGATCTGGCACCTCGTGTGTCCACGCGCCTTAACTGGGTCGTGGTGACGCGGTTGATTCTGGCTTACCTCGACGATTGGCTGGTGTGGGCTCCCAGATAATCCACGTGTCTGCTCGCCTGGGATTTGGTTCCTTACCAGCTCGCTTGGTTCGTGTTCTTGGTGCACTGGAAGTCCCAATTGGTTCCCTCTCAGGTTCGGACTGGGTTGGGTCTTGTGTGGGACTCTCGGACTGCTTCCTTGTCTCTTCCTCTGGCAGCAGTGTTGTGGCTGCAGTCCCGCTTATGACTGTTTTTGGATATAACGTGGGTCACATGTCAATTGTTTAAGCGGCGGTGCAGGAGCCTAATCTTCGTCGTGCTGGTCTACCCGTTGGGTTGGATCTGACTTTGGCAGATGTTCTTGTTCTTCGGGAGCATCCCTTCCGCCACTCTCATGATCACTGTGTTCAGATCCAGGGAGCCTTGCATCTGCTGCTGCATTGCCGGCTTCCTCTGAGGTTTTTTTTTTCGGGGTTCTATGCCCTAAAGCCTCCTCGAGCCCTCGCTCAATGTGTTCACGGCTGCCTCGTCTCTCAGCTGGGGTTTTGTGACCAGTACTCACCAGGCCGGCCAGAGTCGGTGGGGTCTGTCCTTCCGTCGGGCTCACAGCACGGCGCAGGAGTTTGCGGTGGTGTGACATTCGCTTCAGAGAGTTTGTGTTGCTCGTGGAGCAATGATCCGGCTCCATTCGGACTGCTCCTCAGTGGTTCATTGTCTGAACTGCGGGGGTTTGATGCGGGTCTTGGCTCTTTGGGGCTGGTCGCTTCAGGTGACTCATTTGCTGAGTTCTCAGGGTTTGGCTCTCATGGTGGTTCACGTTCAGGGGGTGTCAGACGTACTGGCGGATGGCCTGTCTCAGTTCATTCCCCTATCCATGGAATGGACGGCCGACACAGACTCGTTCAGTTGGGTCTGCCGGACGTACGGGCACCTAGAGGTGGACTTTCACATCGACTTGGTCGAGGGGTCTTCCAGTGTATGTGGTGCCCTTCCCAGACTGCATGGCCGTCGGAGTTGATGCCTTTCGGTTGGACTGGTCAAGTTGGGATTTCCTGTACCTATTCCCACCGGTTCGGTTGTTGCTCCGGGTTCTGGTTAGCTTAGAGAGACTACAAGGGATGAGTGGTCCTATTGGCTCTTTGGTGGCCGGCCCAGCCCTGGTTTCAGGTGCCTCTTGCTCGGTGTCCGAACCCAAGGGTTATCCTGCGCCTCGACCTCTTTCAGCAGATTGGACCATTCCAGTACGTGGCTGGTTCGATCTTCTCTGCTTCTCGCGTCTGTTCTTTTTGACGCAGTTTTATTACCACTTGTATGGTGATCAGGTGGCTTAGTTGGTGTCCCACCTGCAAGTTTCGTCTCAACGGCAGTATGAAATTTTCTGGCGGTCTTTTCGGGACTTGTCTCTTCGTAGGTTGTCTTCAATTTCTGGTCGGATTTGTCCTTTCTCTCTTGGTTGTTTCAGGACCGTCTTTTTATGCCAGATTCTGTCACCTCCTTTCGGGTGGTGCTGGCGGAGTCGCTGCAGCTTGCATTTGGGGTGGATGTCACTTCTGCTCTGTTCTGCAAGCTTTCTAGGGCATTGTTCACCTCCGGCCTGCTCATGCACCACCTGAGCTGTCCTGGTTGTTGCACTGGGTGCTCTCTGCTCCTTTCTCCTCGGTTTAGGGGTGGCCCCCCCTCGGTTCAGGACTGTTTTCTGCCGCTCTTTTTCTTGTTGGCGTTGGCCTCTGGGGGTTAGGTCCGGAAGTTTTATGCTCTCATCCGGTGCAGGGGTTTTTGCTCTTTCAGTTCTCGTGGTCTTTTTGTTTGCAGCCGTCTCCTTCTTTTCTGGCGAAGAAAGAGTCTGCTGCTTTCCGGAGGAGTCCTTGCGTTGTTGATGCTTGGTTGGTTCAACCGGGGATCCATCGTGTTTTGTGACTGTTTGTGGCTCTTCGGCGTTATTTGCGTGTTACGGCCTCTGTGGCAGAAGACGTGCTTTTCGGTTGACCCTGTTACCCCTTCTTCCCTATTCCAGGGCGCGGGTCTCCCAAGTTGTACTCAGGATTATTCGGTCCAGCCAGCCTGCGGTCTTTCCATGTGCCCACACGGTTTGTAAGTTCGGCATTCGGATGTTGTTTTGGTAATGTCCTGGCCTATCTTTTGGGCATGGGGCTATTGGAGGTCGAACAGGATCCTGGCTGCACATTACCTTGTTAATGTTCCTAGTTCTTCTCGGGCGTGTATTGCCTTGGGTTGCAGGTTGCGGCCTGTTATCTTGACTTTGAGTAAAGGAGCGAGTGACGACCGCCTCCCAGGTGAGTCCCTTTTCTTCTTTGGTTAGATAGCTCTGGGGAGCCGAAGGGGCTCTCCACTGAAAACCAGCGTTGAATGTAATGAAACATTATTATCTGGGTGAGACCTGGAGGCTCCCCAACATCCCTTCTTCCCGGCGTTTTTTTTAGTTTTTGATGCTCAGCCTCTAAATTGAGTTGCTGGCGTGAAGGTCTGGGACCCCCCATCCCTTTCCCGGGGAGGGGGAGGGGGGGGTTGCTCAGATGGATGCACGGCGGTTGTGGTGACGTCATGTTTGTTTCCTTGTTTTTAATTGGGGAGTTCTGTTTGCTAGTTCGGCTTTCAGTTTGCAGTTTTTGACCAGCAGTAGTTTGTTTTGAGATTCCTACCCTTCTGGGTGCCTGACCTGGTAGATGGCAGACAAAGACTGCTTCCAATTACACGGGGGTGTCTTTAGGCCATTGCTCCTAGTGCCTCTCTTGAGGAGTCCATGTTTTGGCTCTGGTCCACGGTAGGCTTAGAAGTTCTTCAATTGACTGTTGCCATGGTCAAATATATACACATCAGCCCAGTATATCTCCGGGGAGTTTCAGCACTGGTTTTTTGTTACACAATTAAATATGTAGACTGTTCCAAATATATTTTCATATTAAACATGAAGTCATTTCTGCTAGATGATAAATCTGTCATCCATTTAACCCAAACAGCATCTCATATATAAATTGATATTATCTTCTAATAATTTTCACATTCTTTATCAGGGAGTGGAATTCCAGAGGGGGAGACATGTTATGTGCTGACCGGCGAAGAAAATGGTACGTGGCTGGTGTGGAACCCCTCAACAGCTCAGTGTTTTGGTGCCAGGGATGCCTTCAGTCCTCTTAGTGCTGTTTATATGCTTGCAAATCAAGATAATGTAAGTTGTGCATTAATGAATTCTCAGTGACCTTATTTCACTTTTATAGTTACCATTCATACCTTAATGCTTCCCATGCTTTATGGGCTGATTTCAGTGAGCAAAATCTTATTTTCAACCTGTCACATGAAGGGCAGCTACCAAGAGACCCTATCTGTAAAGAGATGTCAACCACATCTAGCATATTTCCCGACGCCCTTGCCTCAAAACCTCATTTTCAGAGAGAAACGAGTCCATATTTGTGAATGAAAACTGAGAGATCTCGCAATGAAAATGAACTATAGAATTTGGTTTTAAATGTTCTCAATGGCTTTCCCAGGGCCACAACTTTTTCTTTTAATATAGCACCTATCTAAAAGGATCACTAAAAATGTGATTGGAGCCATATTAACAGAGTTACCATTCATACCCAAATGTTTCCCATGCTCTATGTGCTGATTTCTTGATATGATGGGCAAGTTTCCACCAATCTATGAACTCTGTAATAACATCTTAAGCACATCCCCCACTTCAGCGAACTCTTGTTTGTGGAATGCTGCTAGTGACACCTTTTGGGTCGAATGCCATTGATGTAATCCTCAAAGAAAAGCTAAATGATCTGAGGAGATGGAAGAGAGAATAGAGATTTTGGATGCACACGATGCTTTGTACCTCACAAGGTGAAAAAGGCTTTGCTGAGGCTTACCCATTTCTTAAGGTGTGCTCCCTTTTCGATAGCCGAAAATTAACAGAATATGACAAACTCCTAAACGCAACAGCCATGAAAGTATTAACACATTGCACGGCCCAGCGGGCCACCCGCAGCGCAAGGTAAGCCGCACATTTTCCGTGAGCGCACAACTGTACTCCAGTGGTTATACTCTTCACAGTTTACTCTCAATTTTCATGTTACGTCGTTCATTTTGGTATCATTGTTTGCAAAAGAAAGCTCTAAAGGGATATGTGCATATTAGGTCAAATAGAAGAACAACATTTTCAATATCATTAGATAAAATACACCATCATGTAAAAAACCAGCGTTGAATGTAATGAAACGCCATTTTCTGGGTGCTTATCAGCTTATCAGGCTAATGTATGTTATGTTAGACCGGGACATTAGCTATGGAGTTCAGACCTACCAGGGACCAGCGCCAGAACCTGGCCCCTTCAGAGAGGTTTCAGGGAGCAATGGCCCTGGAAAACCCCATATGGTTGGGGGTTTTCCTTATCTGCCATTGGCCGAGGTTAGGCACCCAGAAAGGTAGGCGTAACAAAACAAACCCCACATTGTAAGAAACTACAACAAAAACCAAACAGAGAGGTAGAAAACTCCCTACAATCCCAAGGAAAACAATCAATTTACTGCCGCGCCGGTCGTCCGCGCAGCCCTCCCCTCCCCGGGAGGGGAAAGGGGGGGGGGGGCCTGGACCTCACCACACCGGCTGCCTTCAGTTCAGAAACTAGGCTTCAACCAACGCGAAAAATCCCGCCGACCGGATAGGAGGGAGGGTAGCCAGGGAGCCTCCGGGGCTCACCCAGAAAATGGCTTTTCATTACATTCAATGCTGGTTTTCTGTGGAGAGCCCCTACGGCTCCCTGGAGCTACATACCCAAAGAGAAGGAATAAAGGGGACTTACCCGGGAGGCGACGGCCACAAACTCCTCAACGCGAAGTCGAGACAACTGGCTGCAACCTGCGACCCAAAGCAACACAAGAACGCTGAGGAGCAGGGACGTTCACCAAATAACGGGCGGCCAGGACCCTGTTCGACTTCTAAAATCCACGCGCCCGAATATGTGCCCAAGACATATTACCAAACACGGCAGCCAAAGCCGCAAACTTCCTAACGTCATGGGCCCGAGGATAGACCGCAGGCTGGCTAGACTTAATAACCCCACGGACAGCCTGGGAGACCCGAGCCCTGGAACAGGGAACGAGGGAAACCGGATCAACCCAAAGCCCATCCCCAGCCACCCCGGCTGAAGCGCGCAGGTAATGGCGAAGTGCTGCAACCGGACACAACACATGATGCACCCTCGGCCGAACCAACCAAGCATCAATGACCCACGAACCCCTCCGGAAAGGAGCCGTCTCATTCTTCGCCAGAAAACATGGAGAAGGCTGCAAACGGACAAACCTACCCCCAGGACCAAAAGAGCAGTAACCCCTGCGTCGGAGGAGAGCATGAAGCTCCCCTACCCGGCCCCCAGAGGCTAATGCCAACAAAAACAAAGCCTTGGAAAAACAATCAGGAACCGAAGGGACCACCACAAACCGAGGAGAGGAAAGATAGGAGAGCACCCTGTCCAAGGACCAGGACGGCTCAGGCGGCGCATGAGCAGGCCGGAGGTGAAACATAGCACGGGAAAGCTTACGAAACGGGGCGGATGTGACGTCCACCCCGAAAGCGAGCTTGAGCGGCTCCGCCAGCGCCGCACGATACGAGGCGACAGTATTAGGCATCAAATGACGGTCCTGAAAAAGCCAAGAAAGAAAGGACAAAACAACCCGATCCGAAAGAAAAGACAACCTACGAAGAGCCAGAAAATGGCGAAAAGAACGCCAGGAAACTTCATACTGTCGCCGAGACGAAGCTCTCAAGTGAGACACCATCAACGAAGCCACCTGATCACCATAGAAATGGTGATACACCTGGGTCAAAAAGACCAGACGCGAAGAGCAGAGGAGAAGGTCGAACCAGCCCCGTACCAGATTGGACCGACCTGCTGAAAGAGGCGGAGCCGCGGGAAACGTCCCGGGTTCGGGCACCGAGCCAAAAGTACCGGAAACCAAGGCTGGGCCGGCCACCAAGGGGCCATGAGGACTACTCCCCCTGGGAATGTCTCCAACCGAACCAGAACCCGAAGCAACAGCTGGACCGGAGGAAAGAGGTACAGGTAACCCCACCTCAACCAGTCCTGCCGAAAGGCATCCACCGTGAACGCTTCACAGTCGGGAAAGGGCGTCACATATATTGGGAGACGCAGAGACCACGCCGACACGAAGAGGTCTACATCTGGGAGACTGTATGTCTGGCAGATCCAACGAAACGAGCTGTCGTCGACCGTCCAGTCCGTGGACAGGGGAAGGAAGCGAGACAGACCGTCCGCCAGAACGTTGGACACTCCCCAGACGTGAACCGCACGGAGAGCTAAACCCTGAGAATCCAGCAGACGAACCACTCGAAGGGACCAACCCCAAAGAGCCAAGGACCGAAGAGAACCCCTGCGTTTCAGGCAATGAACCACTGGAGAACAGTCCGATTGGAGGCGAATGGTCGATCCCCGAGCGACCCGAATCCTCCAAAGCGTGAACCAGACAGCCGCAAACTCCCAAACCGTGCTGTGAGCCTGATGGAAGGACGGACCCCACCGTCTCTGGCCTGCCTGGTGAGCACTGGTCACAAAGCCCCAGCCGAGAGACAATGCGTCCGTGAACACATCGAGCGAGAGCTCGGGAAGGCGCCAAGGCACCGAACCCCGAAAACCCCGAAGAGGAAGCCGGTGACACAGCAACCGACATAAGACCCCCGGAGGACGAACCCAACGATCGCAAGAGAGGCAGAAAGGACGTCCCCGAAGGAACCAAAACAGACGCTGAAGCCAAATCCAACTCAGTGGATAGACTAGCGCGGCGAAGTTCAGACTCCCGCACAACCGTTCGAGCAACCGCTCGGTGACCCGGGACCCCCTCAGAAACAGCTGACGGCGGTCCCGCAGCCGCCGCAACGCCTCTGGAGGGAGAGACAAGGAAGCGGTCCTAGAATCCCAAACAAGACCCAGCCAGGTTCGAACCTGGGACGGAACCAGATGGGACTTCCTCCAGTTCACCAAGAACCCGAACCTGGCGAGCTGGGAAAGAACCATATCCCTGGCGAGCAGACAAGCTGACCGACTGGGAGCCCACACCAGCCAGTCGTCGAGGTAGGCCAAAACTCGAATCCCTAGAAGACGCAGACGGGTCACCACAACCCGGGTCAGACGCGCGAAAACGCGAGGTGCCAGATTCAAGTCAAAAGGAAGGGATCGAAAACGGTAAGTGTGATGCCCCACCACGAAACCTAACCAGTCCCTGAACCCCGGATGAATAGAAACGTGCCAATAAGCGTCCTTGAGGTCCAGGGACACCATCCAGGCACCCGGCTCCAACAGAAGCCGGACCTGAGACAGAGTAGTCATCCGAAAGGAGGGGCAAGGAATCCAAGGGTTCAGATGGGACAAGTCCAGAATGAACCTCGGATCCGCACAGTCCCGTTTCGGCACTGGAAACAGACGGGAAACCCACCTGAGGGACGTAGTCATTTCAACCACGCCCAAGCGCACCCACTCCAAGACGACTTGACGAAGCGCAGGAGAAGAAACCTGCCCTGTTAGCCCCGAACCCCCCAAAGGAGGACGAGTCGCCCAACACCACCTCAGGCCGGACGACACGACCGAAAAGGCCCACAAATTGTGGGACCAAGCGTGGGCAAACAGAGCAAGCCTCCCCCCATCGCCCCGTCAACGGGGCAAACTGCGAAAGGGCCGATGCCCCTTACGAGAACCCAACCGTCGAACAGGGCGATCACTGCGCCGACCAGACGACGCTGGCCCCGAAGGGAACAACGGCTCAAAAACTGGCACCAATGGCCCACCTCGACCAGCGGAACCCGGAACCCTGGCATGACCCCTCCGAAACTGCCGAGAACGACCACTCCGGAGAATCAACAAGTCCGCCATAGGACCACAACTAGACAAAGCCACTTGCAGAAACTGAGAGACCGCAGTCTCTGCAAACAGCAACGGACAAAACGGAGACGAAAACCTAAGAGCCAGGGCCCAAGCGGATTCCAAAGAGTGGGCGAGCACAGCCTGACGCGAGGCGAGAAACAAAAAACAGAGACACCGCTTCCTTCAGGATGGGCACAGAGAGCTTCAACAGTGCAACCGATGCCCTAGCTGCCGAAGACAGCGCCCCAGACAAAGGCTCTTCACTCAACGCTCCCACATCCTCCTCAAGCCAAGCAGAAGACAGCTCGAGA